ATGTGCTTGACACAATGGATGGATGTATGGATTGTGATGAGAATTGTACAAGCCCCCAATAAAATAATAATAATAAATAAGTAAATAAGAATTTAAAAAAAGAAAAAAAAAGAGGGCACTAAAAAAGGTGAGATGCAATAATTGGATTTCCACCAGAGTTCGATTCCTTTATTTTGTAGTTACACCTCAAATTTTGGCTTCCAGTGTTTGTTACTTATATAACAAGTCTACTCAAAGCTTAAAAATAAGGAATAAATTAAATACTTAGTAATTAAAGCAATGTACACATTTGAAGGAAAGGAGAGTCAGACCAGCAGCTTTATGGATGATTGAGAGCACAGAAAGGACACGGAGTTCTACAGAACTGGCAGACAGGAGCAGCCAGAAAACTCAGATCGACAGCTCAATCGGTGACAACTAAGACTGGAAACTGGTTAGAGTGGTCTGATATGCAGATCTATTTCATGCACCTCATAAATAGCACAACAAATAAACAGCAGTCATCTGTTTTGGTATTTATGTTTTCTAAATTGAAACAGCTATGCAAAATGAATTATTATTATAAGAGTTTTAAAACTAGACAATTTATACTGTAAAAAAGGTATGCAATCCCATTGAAAAAAGGGACCAGACAAGGATGCCCCTTGTCCCCACTTCTTTTCAACATTGTACTGGAGGTCCCAACTAACAACATGAGGCAGCGGAAGGACATCAAAGGTATCCATCTGGGACAGGAGGAAGTGAAACTATTGCTATTTGCAGACAACGTGATTCTATACATTGAAAACACCCAAAACTCCACAACAGGAGCACTGGCAAAGAAAGAGGAATGTGGAAGCATCAAGGGATACAAGATCAACAAACAGAACTCTACTGGTTTGCTAAATACATCAGACAAGGCCACCAAGGAGATCAAGAAGGCAGTACCCTTCACAACAGCCAAGAACAAACTGCAATATTTAGGGATATACCTAACCAAAAAACCCAAAAGACTTATAAAAGGAAAACTACAGGACCTTACTATAGGAAACCAAAAGTGACCTCCACAAATGGAAGAATAAATAACCCATGCTCATGGATCAGAAGACTCAATATAGTAAAGATGTCAATCTTAGCCAA